ACATCACACTCTTTTACATATTGATGTAAAGGCTAGTTCCAATGCGATTACTGATCAATTAGTTAATGATATCACGGATCCTGGAGAGGGGACATCTCATTGTAATTTAGCGGTCTCAAACAACATACTTTTATCAACAGCAGTAATATTGGTTAAGGGTCCCACAGGTAAAATAAAAGAATGTCGCGCATTATTAGACATTGGGAGTCAATCTCACTTCATAACGGAAAATTTATGTAAACAGTTGAATTTGAAAATTCAAAATTCAAATGTGTCGATCCTAGGAATAAATAGCCAATCAAGATTGACTAAGTCTGCTGAAGTTGAGATCAGAAGTAGATCAACTGATTTTATTTACAATATTAAATGTTTGGTTATTCCCAAAATTACCGAAAACTTGCCTTCTTATACGTTCGATATAAATACTATCCATTTACCCAATAATTTAGACTTAGCGGATCCGACTTTTAATGTTTCATCTCCCGTGGATATATTAATTGGGGCCGAATTATTTTTAAACCTGCTTACTTCCGGAAATATAAAACTCGGTAAAAATCAGCCTGTTCTACAAAATAGTGTCTTGGGATGGATTATCTCAGGTAAAATTCCGAATTTTAATAATAAACCCTTGCACTGCTACAAAATAAGTTTGGAATCAGCTGTTACCAGGTTTTGGGAAATAGAGAACGTTGAACCCGAGGTAATTGTCCCTTCCATCAATAAACATTCTTCCAAAGACCTTTGCGAAGCCCACTTTTATGACACTACCAGCCGATCTAAAGACGGTCGCTTTGTTGTACGACTTCCGTTTGTCGGGCAAATTCCAAAATTGGGAAATTCCCGTGATGTAGCCATGAAACGGTTGTTGTCTCTTGAACGGAAACTCTCCCGAGACCATAAATTAAGAGCGGGTTATTTGGCCTTTATGCGCGAGTACTTGGAATTAGGTCACATGGAGCCAGTACCTGCCGACGTTTCGAAACATTCTTATTACCTGCCCCATAGTGGGGTCATAAATGAAAATAGTTCTTCAACCAGACTACGCGTTGTTTTTGACGGATCGGCAAAAAGCTCAAACAATCTTAGTTTAAACGACAATTTATTAGCAGGACCCGTTTTGCAGCCTGATCTTCTTACGATCATTATTCAATTTAGACTGCCTCAATTCGTAATAACTGCGGACATATCCAAGATGTACAGGTGCATTTGGGTGCATCCTGATGACCGTGTATTTCAACAAATCTTATGGCGAGAATCTCCCGATTTACCCGTAAATACATACCAACTTAAAACCATCACTTACGGCCTGACTTCCTCTTCTTACCAAGCCATTAAATGTGTACAACAATTGGGCGCAGATCTAAAGGATAATTATCCATTAGCACACGACGTCATCATGAAGTGTTTTTATGTGGACGACATATTGTTTGGCGCAAATACCATACCCGAATTAGCGCGGATTAAGGACGAATTAAAGACAGTTCTCGGGAAGGGGGGATTTTCTCTAAGTAAGTGGTCATCTAATTGTGCTGATGTGTTAAAAGATGAGCTTACTTCCAATGAGTGCATAATAACGGACAAACAGCTTGAAAAGAAAACTCTGGGTATTCGCTGGGACAACGAATCTGATAATCTTTCATACACACATTTTAACTTTGTTAACGTCAAGCCCACCAAACGTACTATACTTAGCGCCATTGCTCAATTATTCGACCCCCTCGGTTTAGTTAATCCTGTGATAACAATGGCAAAAATAATAATGCAACGGTTGTGGTCGTTGAAAATTAACTGGGATGACGAAATTCCCGATAATCTTAAAAAAGCATGGACTTCCTTCTTACGCGGCTTGCCTTATCTAAATAAACTTCAGTTTCCTAGAACAGTAATTTGCCGTGATGCTATCAAAATAGAAATCCATGGATTCTGCGATAGTTCTGAACAGGCTTACGGTGCAGCAATCTTTGTTAGGTCCATTGATTCCCAATTAAATATACACGTCAATTTGTTATGCGCCAAATCTCGCGTGGCGCCATTAAAAACCATCTCTTTGCCCAGACTTGAATTATGTGGTGCGCTTTTGTTAGCCCAATTGCTTGTAAAGGTCACTAAAACGATTAACATTTTACCTGAGCAGTGTTTCTGTTGGACGGATTCTCAGATCGTTTTATCGTGGTTAGCAGCTGATCCAGGTAATTGGAAAACCTTTGTCGCTAATCGCGTTTCTAAAATACAGCAGTTAACTAATAATTGTCACTGGAACCATGTAAAAAGCAGCGAGAACCCGGCCGACATAATAACTCGTGGTGCCTCTCCTAGGGAATTATCGACAAATACACTGTGGTTTAATGGTCCAGCTTGGCTGCATAAAATGGAAATTCCGATTGTTAATGCCTCTAATGTAGACAAGTGCGACTCCTCTGGCGAAGGTTTACTGTTAGAAAAACGCTTTGTTTCAACTGCAGTGCATCTACAAACCAATTCTTTTAAAAATGTTATCTTTGACCTATACTCAACCTTTGGCAAATTAAAAGTTGCAATTGCGTGTTGGCTGCGCGTTATGAAAAATCTACGGAATAGAGTCAAAAAACAACCGGAAATCAGGGGCAGTTTAACAACGCAAGAATTGAAACATTCGGAAATTACGATAATCCGATTAGTTCAAAAGGAGGCATTCTCCTCCGAAATTCATCAGTTGACTCACAGTAAAAAACTTGGTAACAGTAGTATTTTACAACTTAATCCGTTTCTAGATTCTAATGATTTGCTCAGGGTGGGGGGTAGACTAAGCAATGTCAAAACTTTACCAATTGATAAAAAATTTCCCATCTTGTTGCCCAAACATTACATAACCGAATTAATAATACAAGATATACACCAAAGCCTATTACATGCGGGGCAATTAGGTACTCTTGCGCAAATGCGCTTAAAATATTGGCCTATTTCTGGCAGGCGTCAAGTTCGCAAGGTAATTGGTAAATGCTTAAAATGTTATAGGACCAATCCAAAACCTTACAGTCAAATTATGGGAAATCTTCCCGAAGAGCGGATAATGCCCTCACGTCCCTTTTCCAAGGTGGGGGTTGATTTCGGTGGTCCTTTATTAATTAAAGAAGGCCGCGGAAAAGGGAAAAGAACCACTAAGTCCTATATTTGCCTTTTTATTTGTTTAAGTACAAAGGCAGTACATCTCGAACTGGTAGGCGACCTGACATCCGACTCATTTCTTAGTGCCCTAAAACGATTAATTTCACGCCGTGGAAATATCTCTTTCGTTCTTAGTGACAATGCCACTAACTTTGTAGGCGCGAGAAAAGAGCTTCAACAATTATTTAAAAGCGAGATTTTTAAAAATAAACTGGCAAACGAAAATATCATGTGGAAATTTATTCCTCCTCGAGCCCCAAACTTTGGTGGTATCTGGGAGGCTGGTATTAAATCAGTGAAAAATCACATTAAGCGCGTAATCGGCGAAAATCACCTTACGTATGAGGAGATGTACACGCTGTTGGTCAGAATTGAAGCGGTACTAAACTCACGCCCCTTGACGCCATTATCGAACGATCCGAATGATCTCTCGGCCCTTACGCCTGGCCATTTTTTAATCGGGCATCCACTAACCGCCCCCGTAGAAAAGGATCACACCGCCATTTCGTCCAATAGGCTGTCTCGCTGGCAGCTGATTGAGGCCTGCCGCCAGCATTTCTGGAGACGTTGGTCAAAGGAGTATTTGACTACGATGCAGAGCAGGGCCAAGTGGCAGCACACATCCGCCAAAGTTCCGGAAGTTGGTACATTGGTGGTACTAAAGGACGACAATCTACCGCCGTTACAGTGGCCGCTGGGGCGTATTACTCAATTACATCCTGGAAACGACGGCCTGGTGCGTGTAGTGTCAGTGCGGCATAAAGGTGGTGTAGTTAAACGTGCAATTACGAAAGTGTGTGCGTTGCCAATTGATTAATATTAATCAATCCATGATCTATATTCCAGAAATCTGGACATTCCTATTCATTTCTACTTGTGTCTATAATTTGCTTGCTTTCTTTGCACTTTTGTTTATCCGTATGATCTGTGTAAAATATTATATGCATATATTCTGTATTTCGAAACACTTCTATTGTTTCAAGGTGGGGGGTTATGTGAGAGCCAATGACCAGGGGGTGCCTGTTTTTACCCCCTCCGCCTTCACGGGCTTGGTCGGGCCACCACCGGCCTTGAAACGGAGAGTTGATCTGTATCCTTCCGATAATAAACACCAAATATTTATCTCGCATTCCGCTGCTCTTATTTAACAATCAAACACAACATACAACTTATTCATATATCAATACAAAAACGTACAGTATGTCTGTCAGTTCGCGCGTGTCTTTTCTTTCATATTTTTAAGGTGTTTCATTTGAAACGTAATATGTCCGTGAATACACGATAGAGGGTTTTGGGGCTGAGGAGTGAATGCGAGATGGCAAGTCCATGTTGCCTTCGCTCGCAGCTTCTTTCCTCCTGAGAGGGGTGCCATTTTAGCCCCTCCAAAAAAATGTTGTCTATTATTTCTTGCGCTCTCGACTCACACGCAGTATATGCTCACTTGTATGAAAGAACGTCTTCCCGCCACTTAAAAAAAAACACACACATACAACGTAGGTTCTCATTTTGTTAGACGATCACAGCCAAGGCCAAATTTTGAATTTTTGAATTTTTCGCGGGCCTTTCGAAGTTTTTCAAGGTCAATTTAAGACGGGAAGCTTGGGTTATCACAACGTGTTAAAGGCATCTATTTGAAAAAAAACACGAATTTTCCTGTTAACCTAATACATAAAAAAATTGGTCAAATATTATTTCGACAGAACTTCCCTTGCTCATAAAGTATAGCTTGTCAAATCCAGCTCTTTGGAAAAATTAAAAGATTTGGTTTTGCGAATAATTAAGATAAAAAAATGTAGAATGTAAATTAGATTCTCTTATGTCTGTAATAAACTCACTCTGTGATATAATACACTCACCATGAACCAACTGAATAACATCTCCATGGTTTATTACATCTATGGGTTGTTCAACAACAAGATCATGTTTGTTAGGTCTCTTCACAATCCACCAGTTATTTACATCTTTGAAGGAATAGCAAGTGACTTGTTGTTGATGACTAGATCCTCTTTTGTCAGGATATCTTATTGGATAAACTTGGTTGTGAGAATGCATCCAGCAAGTTCTTCCATGAGTATGTCTAAAATTATGAAATCATATTAAAAAAAATAAAAAAATAAAATTAAATTACCTTAAAGTAATTTGAGATCCATGTGCCACAAGCAATGGTTGTCCTTTAGTAATTGAAGCTAAACCGCCTTCTAAGGAGGCTTGGAATGCGCTGGTCATTATGCTATCATGTGGTCCCGCTTTGTACAAAACATTCAAATGTATATAAAAAATACATAAATAAATCAGAGTAGATATGAAAATGGCAGTGACACTTTGTACAACAAATCGAACAAAAAGGGCAGAATCTGAAAGCGTTGATGAAGACAACAATTTCCAAAAATCTCGACCAATAATAGCAATTCCCAGACATATTGAGTAAAAACCAACATACTTTACAGACAACGCACAAGTTAAAGAAACTGATCCCAAACTCAACCAAAAAAACCACAAAGGAGTGTAAGGCCTGGAATAATAATGACGGAATTTCAAAATACAAAAAATTCCAAACAAAGCAAAAAATAGCAACATTGATTCCATTAATATAAATCTGCTTTGAGTGAGTAAAGCATTATCAAGTAATAAAAGAATGGCTGCCAATAAAGACGTCCATTGCGTTAACCCTAATTCTAACATCAAATGATACGAAGCTGGAATTATTAAGCTACCAAAAAATGCAGGGACAAAACGTAAAGCAAGTAATGGAATAGTCTCTGGGTAAGGACTACCTATTTTATCAAATTTAAATTTTCCATCAAACCCGGCTAAATAAGCTACTGCGGCTATGAGCTGCTTTCCCAGTGGTGGATGCGAATCGAAGAAAAACGTGTTTTTCATGTATAATGAGACATATTTGCCATAATGCAGTTCATCAAATCTAGAAAAAAAAAAGGAACTATTTATTGGTGTTACAAGTATTTGAACTACTTACACTATATTTTTGGGTTCTTCTAATTTGTACATTCGAGTCAATAAGCCACATAAAAAGAGGCCAACTGAGAGCAGATCAATTTCAAAATTTATTCGGAGGAATTTAGTTTTTTCTTCACGAGGTATATGGTTCGTAATTTTGTTTGTTTTCTTATCATTCGAATAGTTTAAAACATCACCTTTGAGATTCTTACATGATTCCTGGATCACATTTTCAGTCGTGTTTTTTTCATTTTTGTTTTCATTATCACCACATTGATCTATTGTTTTTTGTTTATGTTTCCTATTATTTATATTTTCCATTTATTTTGTTTAGTAGATAAGGATACACATTTTTTAAAAATATACTAATTTTTTAAGTTGTCCATTTTAACATCCACGTAGCACTGCTCTGTAGGTCATTAACACCAACATGCAACCAGTAGATTTCTTTAGGTTAGGTTAGGTCAGTTCATAAACAAAATCGGATAAAACTTTTGAATTCTTGCCTTAAACATAATCACTAAAGTTTAAAGAACTATAGCATAACCAGGAGCATATCAACAAAGTGTCTGTTACCAAAGAAAATAATATTTCAGAATATAAAAAATTAAATTAATATCCGTTACTCTGTATTATGTGTACCGTTTTCAGTTGAGGTAATTATAATTATAATCACCACATTTTTTTTTATTTTATAAACAAGATTTATAAGCGGAATAAATGACACTGCATATTTCAGTTCTGTAAATACGAAATATAATTCAACTCAACTATTCTTAAAATTAATTTTAGCGCTCTTTCATTGTATTGTAGAGGCAAAATACCTGTCTTGTCATTGGTTGAAAATATTTGTGGAGGTTACTTTAAAAGCGGTCATTTTAAACTGTGTTTTAAAAGTTCTTGTGAAATATTTTAGGTTAGTTAAACAAAAAAGACACCATGGACAATACTACCGAAAATACAGAATCGTTTTGTCCGATATGTGAAAAGACATTTCCCATGTCTGAGATTGAACAACACGTCAATAAGTGTATTTTTTTAAATTCAGCAGACTCCGAAGAAATACCCAAAAGAAAGCGTTCACCATCGCCAGTTCTTCCGCAGAATTTTAATCGAAAGTCTAGAGGACCACAAAGCAAAGTCGATTTAATTTCACCTTCTAAAAAACAAAAAGTTGAAACCAAAACGGAGAAGCAACCAACAACCCCCAGAAATAACAAAACAAAAAGTAACAAATCTTTGGTGGTGAATGAGTTAAAGCCATCAATTACTGTAACCAAAGCAACAGTAGCAAACAATATTGCTAGTGCTACCTCAACAAAAGCATCTGCTGTTGAAAAGCCAAAAGATAATTCTTTCTCTATTCCACTCGCTAAACAATTACAGCCTAAATCACTTGATGATTTTATTGGCCAGAATCACGTACTGGGTGAAAACACAGTTCTTAGAGCCTTATTAGAAAAAGGTGACATTCCAAATATGATACTGTGGGGGCCACCAGGTTGTGGTAAAACCTCCTTGTCTGGAGTTATTCAAGGGATATGTAAAAGTAATCCCACAAAATTAAAGTTTGTGTCTTTGTGTGCTGCAACTGCTGGAGTAAAAGATGTGCAAAATGTTGTTTCTGCCGCCAAATTACAACAAAAATTTGGTTGTCGTACAGTTCTCTTTATGGATGAAATCCATAGGTTCAATAAGAAGCAACAAGATATCTTCTTGCTACATGTTGAAAAAGGTGATATTGTTTTAATTGGAGCAACCACAGAAAACCCTTCATTTACAATAAATTCTGCTTTACTCAGTCGATGTCGCGTTATTGTAATGCAGAAATTAGAACCAGATTCTTTGTATTCCATCATAGAACGGGCTGCAAGGAATTTGGAAGTTAAAATTATTGATGATCCAAATATATCCTTGCAAGAAGGTCAGTGTGATAGGTAAGGCATTTTAACATGGTTAGTGTTATTAATTGTAAAAGTAGCATTGCAGTTCAAGCAGATGCCTTAAAGTGGTTGGCTGATATCAGTGATGGCGATGCAAGAATTGCTTTGGGGAATCTGCAATTGGTGTTGCAATTTCATGAGACCAAAAGTAAAGTTGTAACTATTGAAGACATAAAAGAAAAAATTAAGGTACTAAAACAAAATTACCAAAAATTAAATTTGAAACAAACTATTTTTTAATGCGAGACAGTGACAAAAATTAGTTAATAAACAGATCTCTTTCAGAAATCCCATTTATTATATGATCGCAAAGGGGAAGAGCACTACAACATAATATCCGCCATGCATAAATCTATTAGGGGTTCAGATGTTAATGCTGCATTATATTGGACAACGCGAATGATAGTCAGTGGTGAAGATCCACTTTACGTCGCTAGAAGAATGGTCCGAGCAGCCAGTGAAGACATAGGTAGGAAATATTGCTGCATAACTTTGCAGTTGAGTTTTATTATTTTAAATTAGGTAATGCAGACCCTACAGCATTAATGCTAGCTGTAAATACCATGCAAGGATGTCAGTTACTAGGTAAACCAGAATGTGATGTATTGTTAGCACAATGTGCAATTTACTTAGCAAGAGCGCCAAAAAGCAGAGAAGCAGACAGTGCGTTAGCTAAAGCAAAGCAGGTTATTGCAAGTTGTCAAGGATTGCAACCCTCAGTCCCTCTGCATTTGAGAAACGCACCTACAAGGTTAATGAAAGACTTAGGTAATATATGTAGAGGTTTTTCTATTTTTCTCAAGTCAAAATTTAAATACTAGATGTGGTAATGTCACTTTTGCTTTTTGCATTTTTTTTAATTATCAAAAAGTGGCTGTAGAAAAACTGTTAAAATAGCCTTGTGAAATTTATTATATACTTTTTACAGGTTATGGAAAATTCACTGGAAGTCAGATGTACTTCATGCCTCCTGAGTTACACAACGTAAACTTCTTTAATTAGATCGCCATCTAATACAATATTAATACTGGTTTTGTATTTTATAAGAGTTTTATGAATAGATTTATTTTTCATATTCTTTATTTATCAAATCTGTAATATACAGACTTCCTACAACTGCTGTTACTGTAACAGTAATATAACTAAAATGAATTGATCAAAATATAAATATATTTAAACATTAACTAAAAATCTTGTCGCTCAAAACAAAACGACACCTATAAAACATGATCCATGAGGTGAACTTTTTTTACAAAAATTGGACAGAATTTCAAAAAATGCACCTTCTCCACCGACATCAACGATTTAAATTCACAATAAATTAACTGTTAAAATTTTACTATAATAATTACAACTTAAAATTAATTACACACGGAATAGCACAAAAGTGCGTTGAATTCATCAAACTGTCGAATTGTAAAGAGTTGATGGAAATTTCACTAACTTAAAATATATAATCTGGACCTGCCATATCAATAGCCCAGCGAAATTTGTCTCTTTGCGTTTTGTTGTAAATTTTTTCAATTGGGACACCATATTTTTTACACCACGCTACACTGATACGGGGATCCAGATAATTCAGCTTTGAGGTACCCAACGCGATAGTTTTATTCTCGTCTCTGTCTGTTTCTTGAATTTCCAACTTGGTCAATTGTTCTTTTAAACGTTGCAACATTTTTTTCTTTTTCTCGTAGACAGTCTTTTCTTTTACGCTACCGTGTTTCGCGTCTTTTGCGGCATCTTTGACTTGTCGTTCGGCATCTCTGATACTTTCTTTCTTGGCATCGATTTTTTCCTTCAGTTTCTCCATTGATTTTTCGTGACCTTTTGGTACAGACCGTTGATGGTTACATAGAATAGCCACCGCACGATTCGCGCGATTGTACGACAAAATCTTCTCAGCTATCGAATCATCTGGGTTCGTTAATTCATCCAACTGCTGTTGCAAAGTCCAAGATGCGTTGTAGGTACGGAACACTTTCGCTGTGAGGCCTTCCATAAGTTCGTTTAAATGTTTGTTCATGATGGCTGTATTCAAACGATCAAAGAGATCGTCGCCTCCTTTTTTATGTTCCATAAACAACTGTAGATTCTTAAACACTCGTTTTTCTACTGGTACCTCGTTGTAGTAACGTATAGAATCTTTACCAAGAAAATCAAAAACTACCACGTATTCTTTGCCATCTTTTTCTTCATGTAATGAGATATGTTCAACACGTAACGAACAGCAACCTACAGTGTCTGCTTGATCTTCATCTTTTTCGTTACCAGCTCTAAGAGCAAGTTTATCAATAAAGTACAGCGCCACTGCGCGCTGTCTAATTCGCATTTCTTTAGATTTCCAATCATCCTTGTATTCTTTTCTAATTTTATCAATACACTGGTGTAATCTCCTTGCTGTTTCATATTTCTGCCAATCTTTTTCACCTTTTAATTTTGAACTGGGGTTTAACATGATGTACTTGACCTGATTTTGGACATTTTCTGTCCACGAAGCTAACCATGTAACAGTGTCATCATGCCGAATCTCTTTCCACTTATGACCAGGTGGAGGTTCAGGAATCTTTGAATCTTTACTGCAATTTATAATGATGTCTTCAGCTTCCACTCTCCTCTTCAACATACCCATTTTCGGATGTTCCCCGCGCCCCCTAAACAGACCTGGGGGTTCAATTTTAAAGTTCCCAATTTTCTCTTTGTGGCCATCGATATTGCAAAATCCATACTCTTTCACAAGAGCTTCATTCTTTTCCTTCAGTGCTTGTTTCTCTTCCTTTGTGCGATTTCTATTTTTCTCAGCTAGATCCATAAAATATGCATGCATTCTTCTGAAATCGCACAACTCTAAATTGGTAATTTTTGCTTGTTCTTTGTCTGACATTACTTTTCTCCAATCTTTAAAGAAATTATTATTGAACGCCGGTTTAGTTGTGTAATCGTGATCCAACATTTTTGCGTAAAAACCTGCCACTTCTTCTGCAGCCAAAGACAATTTCATTTCTTTGCCATCATAAAAGAATTTAATGTTATCTGGTATTGGATCATATGGAGGTGCAAAAATAGGTCCCTTGTGTTCCAAGAATGACCACTTCTTTCCGTCATCTTTCTTTTCTTCTTCCCACCTTTAAATATTATTAAAATTAATAATGTGTATAAAAAATGAGCTTGGCCTACATGTACCTACTGGTTGCCAGAACATTATTGAAATTTTGGTTTTTGTATTTATTTTCTACAACTTGTTCTACGTTCTTAAACGTTACTGGTTTAGTCGGCTTTTCCGCAATATTTATTATGCGCTTTTTAGTGCTAGTAGACAAATTTAAACTGACTTTGGTACAGACACGCCTAACCTCAAAATTAAAGATGTGACAAAAACTACATACTTTGTGATGGTACTTGTAGCTTGTTACATTTTGTAACGTTTTTAATACCATTCGGTTACTGTGCATTACAAAAAGAAGAGAAAAAATAATTGGCTAATAGATGGACATGTCGACGAACACATTAATAACATCACGCCATTTTGATATCATTTCATTTCATGTCAGTGATTCAGTGTTACCAACATTTTTAGTTAAATTTCCTTTCAAAATTCAACCAATTCCGGGAATTTTGTAAAGTCAAAAAAAAATTTACAAAATATCGCAAAACTGAATAAATAAAACATGGTCCTCTCCAATAAAAATAAATCTTTTAATTTAAACAAAATAAAGAAAGATGCCTCCATAATTTGCGTTAATTTCCAAATTTTAAAACTGTCGTCTCCTCATCCTTAATGAGGCGTTATTATTTGTGTAAGTAAGCGGCCTGATTTAATATAATCCATCACAAATAACCCAGAATTATTATTATTATTATGACATATGGCCGTGATTATGACCATCATTTCTGTCTGACAATTCACTGTAGAGATCTAATGATTTTAGTTGTGGCTTAAGGGCAGGCTACGGTTTTTTTTTTTAATATTTATGGGAACAAACAACTGCACAAAATAATTTTCGTAAAAACTTTCATACATTCACTTTTTTAGTCAAAACCAAAAGCCTTAAAATGCAGAAAAAATTCTACTGGCACCACAGTAAAATTGTCAAATATTTGATAAATAAATAGGAAACAAAAAAACACCAACATTTCAATATGTATGGTAACGCCGATAAATTAACAAAAAGTTCTCACCATTTCCACACTTCTTGAGGTTCCTCCTCCTTCTTCTTTCGTCCTTTCTTGGGACCTTCGACAACCGAATTTTCAGTTTTTATTTCCTTTTCTTTTTTAATTTTCTTTTCTTTCTTTATTGGTCGGTCCCATTCGTCTTCCTCATCATCTACAATTCTTTTCTTCTTTTTCTTTTCGGACTTGTTTTTCTTCTCTTTCTTTGGTTTTTTTCTTGCCATAAGGGGTAAATCATCTTCATCATCATCAGATTCAATCTTTCGTTTAACTGATGTGCTTTCAATTCTAGCAGCCTATAAAATAAATTAATTCATCACTGCTATGAATATAAAAAATTAACATGCAAAAAAAAAAACAGTGCACGTAAGTCCTAGTTAAACAAAAAATTCTAAAACCCAAGATGTTAATACGAAAAAATCACTAAACAACATTCACATTAAGACTGAAAACCTACCGAACTGTGTCTGTGAGCGAAAGGTTTTCGCTGAAAATACAATTTATATTAATTTTTTTAAAGATAATAAAAATTGATTTTTTATTATCTCCAATTGGTTTTTTTTAATTACTGCATATTTACTACAATGTTTGCTTGTTTTAAAAGTAGTACTTTCAAATACGTACCAAAGGCATATCTTCATCACTGTCCTCTGGTTCATCTTTTATGTTTGTAGTGCAATCTTCAAACCTGGATTCATCTGATTTGAATTGAGACATATTGTAATCACAGCTACTGACAGCTGAAACATTTTTGTCGTCGATTTCATCTTGAGATTCGGTTTCTTCCTTGATTACAAGCTTGTTATCATCCTCGTCAACTGAATCTTCCCTGGCAGAATCTTCTCTGCTGACGTCAATTTCATGCTTGAAGTGGCTTTTGATTTTTTTATCTTCATCTGAAAATTAAACAAAAACGTAACTACTGATTCACAAACGTAGCAGTGTTGTAAAATCCCATACTACAGAATTTTGATTAACAAAATTTGTTCTAAAAAAATTTATGAATTAACATTTGTGACTTCACAACTCCCACCTAGGTCTGCAACAGTATAGGTCTTAAATTATAAACGAATTTAAGCTGAACACATAAAGTGTATGACCATACACGTATGTAATAATAAAAAATTTACCTGTCTTAAAAGAGTCGGATTTGATAATGTTGTATACAGACCAGCAGTGTTACTGCAACAATTATTCATCCTACTCGTTAAGATTAAATAAACGTAAATTTTGTTGAAGAATTGCACACAAAAATTGCGATAAAAAGTATGTTACAAGCAAGTTTATTAAGCTCCCAAACACATTTAGGCTAAATATATCTCTTGGTCAAATCCGTATTTCAAATTATTGGTCTTAAATTGCAAAGAAATTACAAAGTAGGTATTGGCACAGAATTGCATTACAAATACAACCAGATACATTACAAATAAACACAAAGAGATAAAACTAATTATGAAAAACATACATTGTAGTAAGTTTTGATATGTTTATTTACAATTTCCTCCTATGAAATGTTTCCGGCAATAATAAAGTTTTTACTTTTTTCTAAAAAAGGATTATGTACCGATTTAATTGCTTTCCAATTGTGTGGTAACAAATTATGAAATCTACAACTCGTTAATGAACGAGTTTTTTGTTTTAAGAATTCATAGTTATGACTGAATATAATTTAGTCATTTTTGGATCTTGTGTCATATTCGTGAAATGCCTCATTTATTGTAAATTTTACTTTAATTTTATGAACCAATACAATCAAAATACTAACAAATTCAAATAACGGAAAAAATACAACAAATTTTCAAAACCGTTATGTAGTTATTGAAGTACTCCTCTAATATATAAAAACACTACACACTATACTGACTTTATTTAATAACACACGATTGAGATTATCATGCCATTTTTGTTGCTAGTATAATTATAGATACTTAGTGGAAGTAATGTAGTCAATAAAACACGATCAAAATTTTATTTACACACTTGGTTCAAAATTTATGCAACAAATCTGATGTAAAAAATCGGGAGTAAAACGATAAATATATCATGGCTCAAGTTCAGGAATAAGTTTGTAATTTATTAGTTGACACTGAAAGTTACACACACAGGATGCGTTGAAAGTATGGAATAGGTACGGAAAATATCAGCGAAAGCCAGTTTTTTAAAAAATACTAAAATCAATAAATTTTTCCAATTTTTAAGTAAAAATCATTAATCGATATTTTTATTCGGAAATATCAGCACTTCTTAGCACAATAAATTTTATATCCTGCACAGGAAAACTTTGAAAAGAAAAATGATCTAATGTCTAGTAAAAAATTAGTTCATGGATAAATTAATTAGTAGTAAGATTAATAGTCGTTTAACAAAATAATGAATTAAAAATATTTTCTATTGCCTCTTTTAATTTCAATATAAATATCATTTATTTCGTGAAATTATTTATCGACAATGATGTTTGATTTTTAATATTCAACAATTTTTTGTCGTGTCTATACGTTACTGTTGCGTAGTTTTTTCCAATACGAAAATAAGAATCATAAATAACAACGCTAGGTGATGATGATGATGATGATACATTTCCAACATTGTAGTTTATTCCAATTTTTTTGGTAACCGTTCTGTAATTCAAATTTAAAGATCGTATTACTGCATTACTGAAACGTCAGCTAACAAGTTCACAGCTGTATGTCTCAAAAATTAATCATGTGCAGCAAAGATCCATGTATAATTTATTCTAAAATCAAAAACTCACCTGTTCAATTCAGTTGGATGATATGGTGTGATTTAAGATTCACATTACAAAATTTGGGAGCTTCGTGTCACGGATTGTTTATTTAAAGTTTAAAAATGGAAAAAAAAAAGAAACATGACCTTAACTTATTTCACACCAAAGTAAATCAGTAAAAGTGACACTTACATTGCCAGTTCGGAGAAATTACGGTGTTGGATTTTTGAATAACATATATACACTTGTGTGCAACTAAAAAAGCGTACAACGTCTTGAAGCAAATTTTGAAATTTTTAATGTATATGAAAATGGCTTATCATTGTTGCTACTACGTTGCCATACAAACCATATTTTAGATAAATAATGATTAAATTACACAACTAAAATGCAAAACTGTATGTGATACCCTATCTACTCAAATCGATATTTTGTCTTTGTAAATGAACGTCAAATTGGCGTAATGATTTTTTAAATTATTTTCCTCGAACTTAAGGAGTGTTCATTTTATTACACGGACACCTTTAAAGTAATGCCAATTTTCTAATTTTTAATCTAAATTATTCTAGTTGTTATATATGAAAGCTTTAAATTATATCTATTAAATGCGATTTTTGTTTTCAAAATAACGTTATTTCTTTTTAAAATGAAGCGAATCGCCATTGGGGCAAGAAAATTATTTTTGCAAAAGTGATGCTACGAAAAATTTCCGTTGGGGTGACTGGCTAAAATAACTAAATGTTCAAAATCAGCAGTGTTCCAAATAATCAAAAAGTTTGGGAAGTTTAATACTTTAGAAGATTTGCTCAAATCCAGACCAAGAAAAGGCCCGCTTAACAAAAATATTGAGGAAAACATCATTAAGCTGCTAAAATTAACGAAATGTATATCTGTGCGGGAAATACCGAAGAAGTAAGATGTTACCGTAGGTACTCTAACTACTGTACAAAATATAAAGACTCGGAATAACATTAGAACGTATTAAAGCAAAAAAATCCAAAAAGAAGCGAAAAGCAGCGCATACAGTTTAAAAAAAAAAAGCGGGAAGTTATAAACAATTTTGGTCAGGAACAAAAATCGTTGTGTTTTGATGGACAACTAAACGAATGTTAAAATGGACTGCAATACACTACCCGGCCCCCAGTTTTATAATGCAGTCGTAGGGCAAGATGTCCTCGATAACATGAAAACAAAAAAAATTGAAAAGTTTGGGAAAAAAGTCTTAGTGTGCAAAGCCATTTGTTCTTAAGAATAAGAATAATTATTTCCTATAACATTGTTAAACATTTTTATAATAGAAAAAATTAAATTAGCCCAAAATACTCGAAATAGTAGCAATTTTTCAGTGTCCGCTTTATAAAATGAACATTCCTTAGTCTTGTGAAATAATGTAGCGTTGAGTTACTGTGCCATTTTTAAATCACCCTTATTTCATAGAATTTTTATTAAAACTAATAGTTGTCTCCATTAACAATATTAAACATTCAAATATGGTGATCAAGTCAAATTGCTGTTCCAGTTTTCACGAGATAGAATTTGTTACCACATAACTTCGTATATAAAGTTCTCTATAGTGTCTTTATAGCCAACCTCAATGATCGTCGAGCTGTGCCAATTAAGTCAGTAAATAAGTACATATCGAAACTATTCGAAAACACAACGATTACCTTAAGTTTGAGGCATGTTTATTGCTACCTCATTATAACTTATAATCACTCTGAAACAGGTATAATTTATAACAGTAAAATTTCACTCAGTACACTAAAACAATATTTTTGAAATATATTTGAATACACAATTACTTATAGAAAACTTCACCTAAACTTGTCTATTTGTATCACCTTAAATGACAAGTGCTCCAGTAAGAAAAAACTATACACAACTCATAAAATTTCTTAAATACTGATGGATATAACTGAGGAGTGATTTACATACTGTGTAATGTACTGAATCTAACAGTTCATAAATTAGAATAATCACATTGCTTCGGCATAATTACTGAGAACCCTGAAAAGATAAAAAATGAAAAAAAAAAAGCTTAAATTACAAAAATGAAGAACATCCTGAAACACCAAATATGACAAGAAACACCAACAGGTTGCCACATTTAGAAGAGTAAAAAAACACACCCAGAGTTCAAAAGACTTTTAGTTCTGAATAAAAAGTTGCAATATTTTAACTTTACGAAATATATGTGAATACAGAAGAAAACATCATACTTTCGAAATTATCTTCTAAGCAACCACAAAATTTCAAAACTTTAAGGTCATAATAAAGCCGTTAATTATCTTTTTAAGAGCTCCAACAAATTTGTGACTTCAAATTTGTTACTTTACCATGATTGTTCAGTCGCAGAAACGAAGATTTTGTTTCATTTTTACGACTAAATGGACACGCAACGGAAGATTATATGAATCATTTTCCAGGATAGTCTTGAAGCAGATATTAATCATCATAAAATAAAGAACTTTTTTTTCTAATTTAACATGTTACTTTTAAGGTTTTAAGCAAAATCAAACTTATCTATCTAGCCCCTGTGAATCAAAACTTCGTCAAGTGTAATAGTCTTTAGTAAAAGTTAACAACTCACAAGGTTAAAGTTATTAGGCAAATGAATTTGTCACATTTACGCTATTGTCTGAAACTTAAAATATGTATTTCTAAGGCTGGAAAATTAGTCGACCTATAAGACCTAACTAAATATTAAATACAACAACTGTTACCAACTTACCGATTTGATAATTTTACATTTACTATTTACGAAAATTACGTTTTTCTGGTGAATATATGGATTTAATCTTTACTTTGGTACTGTTTACTTTTATTTAGCTAGAAAAATTAATTTCGTTGTTATACTGTGTTTGAAAAAAGAAAAAAAAATGTCCGTAATTGTCTTATTTTTCCGAGTGTCAAATGAAATTATTTTAAATATATAAACCACGGTCTGATTTGAAAAATTATATTTGCCGTTTATTTGTTTTGTCTACGACACGAATTTTTTAGAGATTCTTTCACAGATTTTTTTCTGAATTCATTGATGTGACATTTTCAAATATTAATAATTTAATTTTAATATTTGCATTTTTTTAATTGAATTATTTATTTTGTCTTCAACAATTATTTCTGTTTAAGGTTGTATCAACAAATTCTGCTTGAAATTGGTAGAACTGTCACCCCAGTTTACTCTCCATTGTCAAATTAGACATGGCTGACAGTGACGAAAGTTTAAATAAACTTTTGTTATTGATTATTATTATTGAAATGTCACAACCTAACTTTCTTGAGAGTATAAAAGTGACAGCGCCAAATATTTGGACCAGGTTCGGCAACGGCAGCAAAAGAAAAATGAATTCTATTGTCAACTCAAACATTTTTGTTGATCATGGTGGATTTTCGTGTGGAAGACATTTACTTTTCAAATTTAAATGCTTCTGTAGATTAACAATACGCAACAATAAGTTACAAAAATTGTCAAACTTGCTAACATAAGTAAATAATAATTGTGTTAATAAATTCGTCACAGCAAAATTACATTAATTTTTACCACAACAATCCAGAAAAAAATCCACAAGAATTTCTAAAAAATATGTATATAAGGTATTATTAAAAGGAAGTTGAATCTCCTTAAACATTAATGTTTCAAATGAAACTGTTGCATATTTAAAAAAATTTAATTTGACAATCAGCAAATGCTGTACAGGAAAAAATAAGACAGCTGCGGGCTGGGCTTTTTGTTTCAAACACACGGTATATCGGTGATTTCTCTCGTTTAAAGCAAGTGTAACCATACATTCGTTTATTTTAACATATACAGTTGCCTGTTCACAACCCAGTCGTCACACAGTTTGATAAAAGTGAAATAAATTAATCCAACCCGTTGCCTTTACCACTTAAATTAACTTCTGTTAACACTGTCGCACACTTTTACAAGTACTTCAACCAATGCGAGTTTGTATTAATTAATGCACTCATTAAAAATATATATTTTTTTATTATACGACGATTTACTTCGCTCGATACGATATGTAGAGAAAGTAAAATGTTACGAGAAAACAAGTCATTAATGAAAGTGAAATATTAGAGCTTAGAGCAAAAATAACACCTACAAAAATTTGAGTATAGCCAAAAAGTGACCATTAATGATTACAAATTTAATGATTAAAATTAGATCATAATTTGGAAAATCTATCATTAGAAACTAAAATAATACGAACCATTCAGTCATCTTGGCCATTTTTGCAGATGTGCTTTTAGCTTTATGCCCTCTGGTGAAGTGGTAGCTTTGTAGCAACTGCTACAAATAAATATTTAGCCAAACATAAAAACAAAAATTATTACCAGCTTTGTCCCTATCTTTGTCAGACTTCTCTCTGTCTCTGTCCCTCCTATCTTTATCTTTTGAACTGGAATGATGTTTATCTTTATCTCTGTGCTTGTCTTTAGAGCTGCTGTGTCTGTCTCTATCCTTTTCCTTTTCTCGGTCCTTCGAAGAACTATGCTTTGATTTATCTTTCTCCTTATCTCTCTCTTTCTCTCTATCCTTTTTATCCTTGTCTCTGTCCTTCGACTTATGCTCTTTATCATGCGAGCTTTTATGCTCTCTCTCTTTATCCTTATCCTTGGATGAAGAGCTGGACTTCTTCTCATCTTTATGTTTATCCTTATCACGATGTTTATCCTTGTCTCGGTCACTGCGTTCTTTGTCACGGCTTGACGATTTATGCGAACTATGCCGGTCCTTATCCTTGGAACTGTGCCGGTCTTTATCTTTACTAGAACTCTTATGTTCTTTACTCTTGCTTTTATCCCTATCCTTATCTCTGTCCCTATCACGATCCTTGTCTCTATGCTTGTCCTTGTGCTCAGATTTGTGACTTTTTTGCTTGTCGGAATAGCCGTTTATGCCATTCAATTGAGATGAATCGGAATAATCTTTCTTGCTGCTCTATATTGAAAAACACGTGAAATTATAAATGGATGCAGCCACAGTAAAATAAAAACAATTCTTAAATTAATAAAGAAAAAATCGGTGCAGTACATCGGATGCACAATTGGGAAAAACGCGCGAAAATGGAAAAAACTGTTGACCGCAAGCTACGAACGTGGGACTTAGTCTCTGACGCCATTACAGGACTTAGAAAAATTTCGCCTGCCGTCTGTCGGACCACGAGGAAAGAGGCTTTATTTCGGAAAAATGGGAAAATCTGGGCTCGTAGAAATTTCCGCAATAAAATCAGAATGGAAAATGTGTACTTACGGGGCTCGAATTATCTTCATTTGCACTACTTTCAACGTCCATACTTACACTGGTTATCACACGAGCCAACACTTAGAAGAAAACGCGAACGAGAAACGATTGTGAGAACGCAACGCTTTTATGACAAAGTACTCGATTTCACATATTGCGCATGAGCGACACGGAAAGGCAATAACCTGTAGCGCGCCTAAATTCAAACTTGGAGAGGTTCGTTCGTTCAACTTTGAACTTGAATTTTAGACGAATGTCAGAATTGTCAGAATCAGCTGCAAGTAATTTATTGCCAGTGCGTTTCAAGAGAAAGTCCTTCGATCGTAGATGATTCGCACTTAGTTTTTTTAGACTGTGACATCACCAATTTTTCTCGGAATTTAAATTAAGATGTAAAATGGTTTGGCGGATTAATGTGATGCACATAATTTTGACAAATAATGTAAACGGTAGTTTATATTTTCGTGTTACACACAATTTTACTGATACATTAGGTTGCCAGACATTATTATACATATTATAAGCCAACAGCAGTATAACATTTCTATATGTTACCTACATGCTTTTTAACGTTCTTAACTTAACGTGACGAATTTTATTAAGTAAATCCTTTAGGAAAATAACAAAAATAGTACTTAAACGTTTTCATTATATGCATTTTTGTATACAAAATGAAGATAATATACAACATGAAATGAATCACTGATTCAACACCAAAAATTTTGTAATAGGAGATGATAACAAAGACAGAAAACACTGCTTGTATTTAATAGGTATGCCGGTATGCGTTGTTAAAAAATAAAAAATCATTTATAATATTTACAACAAGTGGTCTGATTTTTGCCAACAAAATTTCTCTTTGAATGATGGAGCAGCTGTTGGAACGAAAATCACACAAAGGATACTGTTATAGATATGATGATTTTCTAAAAGCAACAGTTATGAGTTAATTTCAGTGGTGTAACCCAGGTAAAAAAAATAATTCTGCATTTTAGGTATTTCCGCCTGTCTAATCCTTGAGCCAACTGTAGTGAAAAATTTTATAACTACCTGATACCTTACAAAATTCTTAGTTGGGGATTAAACTGCTGTCTGGGTTTAATCAGGCTCATTGGTGATGGATACAGTTATTTGATACTCAAAACTCTGAATCAAGAACTTAATAAAATTTAAAAATTGGTCTAAAGAGTTTAGACAGTACTTCCCTCGCTGTTGGGAACGTGACGACTGCAAGCCTATTATGTCTTTTTTGTATTACATTTTTGTAATCCTTGATTTAATCAATAAAATTAATTGAATCAGTCATAACTTTTTTTCAGACACCCTGTATAAGCAAATCTAAAAAATATGAATGCAGTGATAAATCACAAGTATAGACTCATTATTCTTTACACATTTAAGCATTTTTTTCAGCAAAATTTGCGGTGGCGTCATCAAATTTTTAGGGGGGATGAGCAAATACATTTCGATCAAAATTTTACCATGCTTATGATAAATTTAAAACATCTCCAAGATTTCAAAGCATTCGGTTTTGTAGTTCCTGATTATATCAATAAAATAAATTCACACTTTCATTAATTTTTTTGAGTCACCCTGTATATGCAAATCCAAAAAATTTGAATGGAATGATAAATCACAAGTACAGGCTCATCATATTTTGTAAATTTTAGATAGGATTTATTCGGCAAACTTTTGAGCTGACGTCATCAATTTTTTGGAGGGGACAAGTAAATATATTTTGTTTCATAATTTTGATTTTTTTTTCAAAAATCTGGATGTTTCGGGTAAAAACTCAATTCGGAGTCATAAACTACATGTGTAGCACTGTTATTTTATACAATTTAAAACCCATTTACTATGTACAATTTTGAACTGACGTCATCGCATTAGTGCTGGGGATGATTAGACAAATTTTGGTTAACGTTTTACCATCTACACGATATTCCTAATATATCACGGAGGTAGAAGAGACCTACCTCCGTGTAATATATACATATACAAAATTTCGCAACAATCGGTCCAGTACTTTAGGAGATTATCTGTCTAATAAAAATCCGGGACGACAGACAGACGGAAACGGGAGACCTATTTCTTCGTCCTCTAGGGGTCATGAAAAGCCGAGAAATCTTAAAAGTAGAGAGTCGGCCGACGGACTCGATTATAATACTTCCTTTGCTTACGCTCGGGAAGTAATAAATCACACGAACATACTATATCTACATATTTTCAAATTTACTGTCTGTAAAATAATTCTTTACTTTTCGATTCCGTATGTTAATTTAAAAACGAACTGTTGATCACATACTGTAATATTACATATTATACATATTAATAAACTGTGGTGGTGATAGTTGTCATTGCTATTAATTTTTTTTCTCTTTTAGTATATCAAAATCCTGTGAAATAATATTGATTTTTGATTGTTTGAAATAAAAATGTTATTACGAAATATTTTATAACTGGACATCAGTAAATTAGTTTTTGGTGAAAAACTGAAACTGAATATTTTTAGATAAAGTCCAAGTAATTCTACTATTTCATTGAGTTGTACAATCACTGAAAACATTTAGGTATACTATTCCAAAAGCTATAAGGTTATATGACCATCATAAAAGTAGTTGATCGCAAATAAATACCCCCTTTGTGTTTTTTCTAACAATTTAAAATTAACTCCAATTAACTCTCCCCTTGAACTTTTTTTTATACCGTTTACCGGTTGGCAATAAATCGTTTTCTAAATATTTCTTGCTCACATTTAACAGGGCCGGGTTTCAAGGCGAGTGGTTATTTCGGAACCCTCAGCGGCTGCAGGTAGTACAGAAATAAGGGAATGGTGGATTTACATATTTAGTGAAAGCCGCCCCTGAACGAAACTTCAACAGCCGGTCGAGCTGCAGTGGACACATTATTTACGACCCTAAAACCTTTTCTATTGAAACAATGTAACTTCGACACAAAATGGGATAATTTTATGATGGCCATATAACCTTATAGCTTTTGGTCTACTATACACTCAGGATTAGAAAATTTTGGACGTCAATATCGCCACTGCACTGTTACAAAATGTAAAACACCTTTATGTATTGTAATCCTTTTTTACTTCTCGAGCGTAAGCTAAGGAAGTAAAGTAACCTCATTTGACATACACCTGTTAAAACTTTTATGACTTAAGTGTGAGCTAAAGCATATTCCACCATAGAGAGATACACATAAATTCTGCCCGAGTTTTTGCCAAATGTATACGTCCGATTGTAATAACTTCACACCGTTGAAATAAGAGTAAAAAACCCTACCCAGACTGCTTATCCGTTTCTTAAGTTTTGTTGTAAAAAAAAAAACTACAACGCGTTAAAATTGTGATGAGTATGAGACTATCTGGTTTTCGCTATTTATGGATCAATTTTAAATTTTCAAAAAGGTACATTAGTAGAAACTGTATTAAAAAATCCATTGCGCTTTACAGAAATAAAATATCTTAATTAAACAGAGGCAGAATATTTAAAATTACAAATTTTAGCCATTTTTCTGGTCGACTAAAATCTATAACAGGTAACCAATAGAGCCCGTCCTTTTAAACCCTTCATAATCCGACAATAAAATTTTATGAGAGTGTCCACCCTCTAAGGTTTTCTAAATTTTAAGTCACAATGCCAAGTACGAGGCAATTAAAGACAGCAGCACAGAAAAAAAAGTCCGTCTGTCCGTCTGTCTGCCGTCCCGGATTTTTATTAGACATAATCTCCGAAAGTACTGGACCGATTGTTGCGAGATTTTGTATTTATATTAGGAATATCATGTCTAATCATCCCCACCACTAATGCGATGATGTCAGTTCAAAATTGTACATAGTAAAGGGGTTTTAAATTGTATAAAATAACATAGTCCTACACATGTAGTTTATGACTCCGAATTGAGATTTTACCCGAAACGTCCAGATTTTTGGAAAAAAAAATCAAAATTAGGAAACAACATTTTGACATTTAATTTGGAATCTGTAAAACCGAATGCTTTGAAATCTTGCAGATGGGTTACAGTTATGATAAACATAATAAGTTTTTATTCAAAATATATTTACTTGCCCCCTCCAAAAAATTGATGACGTCACCTCAAAAGTTTGCCGTATAAATCCTATATAAAATGTACAAAATATGATGAGTCTGTACTTGTAATTTATTATTCCATTCATATTTTTTGGATTTGCATATACAGGGTGACCGAAAAAAAATAATGAATGCATGAATATATTTTATTTATTTAATCAGGAACTACAAAACCAAATGCTTTTAAATCTTGGAAATGTTTTAAAGTTATCATAGGCATGGTAAATGTTTAGGCAAAATATATTTCCTCACCCCCCCCCCCCTAAAAAATTGATCACGCCACCCCAAAATTTTTCCGAAAAAATGCTATCTTAAATATGGATTGTGCAAAGTACGGGGTGTATGAAAAAAAATAATGACTGAGTCAATTTATTTTATTGATTAAATCAAGAATTGCAAAACTGAATACTTTGAAATCTTGACGCTTTGAAGTTATTGTAAGCATGGTAACTTTTTAATGAAAATGTATCTGTTATCATATTATGTATCAACCCCAAAATAGTAATTTACGCAACTAGTTCGGGATAGCCTGCTTCCCGCATGAACGCTTGTTTGAGGCACGACCGAAGGGAGTGCCGCATTTGCGTGAATGCGGGAAGCAGGCTCACGAACGTGTTGTGTACAATATTTTTTGCGACGAATAAACCTTTAAACTGGAGAGATTAACTGTGAGTTATTTATAAACAACGCCATTGACAGCGCCGTCAACACGTCACAATGTTGACACTACCCGAGTATTTTAAGGTTACCATGGCAACGGGAAGTTAAATGCATGTGTGCGGGAAGTTCGACCTCCCGCACTCTGGTGAATGCGCGAAAGCTATCAAAAAAGGTCATGAGTGCAAAAAAATTGATTACGGCATCTCAAAATTTTGCCGAATAAATTCTTTCGCAAATGTGCAAAATATGAACAGACTTTTAATCATTGCATTCATATTTTTTAGATTTTTTAAAACAGGTGACTCAAAAAAATTAATGAATCAGTCAATTTATTATTGATCAAATTAAGAACGAGCCACCCCATTTGCTGGAAAATGTGAGAATACGCTCGTCTTTATAGCAATAAAATAATGATAAGGTAAGAATTATAATAATAACATTCAGAATATTTTGTTCAATGGAGGCTTATGAATAATTTTAGTCATTTGTTCTGGGGCGATAAACTCATTCAAATCAAACAAATGTCTGCGTGACATTCTTCAGATGTAATGTATTCCCGTTGATAATGTGCTGTAAATAAATTTTTTGCACTCATAACCTTTTTTGATGACCTTGGCGCATTCAACAGCATGCGGGACGTCGAACACCACGCACGGTAGCCTAGCCCGGAAACGTCAAATTGCCAAGTGTTTACGACGTCGTTGTTTATAAATAAAGCTGGGCGGTCGAAATTGATTCATCCTCTCTACCCGTCTGAAGTGCGGCCGGTGCATCCTTGCCTTACTCGCTTCTCGCTTTCCAATTGTGCATCATTTTTAAAAATTTACAGAAATAGTGTTATTTTCAGTAAAAAGTAAAAATATATTAATACACTTTTAAAATGACGTCATCAACTTTCTCGAGGCAATTAATACATTTTAATGGATATTCTGTAATAATTAGATAAATGTTAGCATTACTTACAAAATAAGGAAGCAAATGGGCGGTCCTCGGAAAATAATACTCCATCAAAAATGTATCAAGTTCACTTATTCTATTCTTGTACAAGAGGAGATAAGCACGATCCTGAAGGGTGTCCAATGCATTCTTCTTATTTATAGTGGTCTACATTCTCTAAGGTTATATGGCAGCAGTAAAATTGGACCTTTTGTGTAAAAGCCATGACCATTGCATTGCATGATGAGGAAAAACCGTTGTCGTAAATAACACTGGGCTTACCGTTTGGTACTTTCTAAAAGACTATAAAAAAGGGATGTACTTGGAAATTTTGATCTAAAAAAAAAAGGCAAAGTTATCTCTTACTACATTATTAACAACGGTTTCTTCTGATAAGATGTATGTATAAGTTTTTTCAGAAAAATATATTTATACTAAATAAGTACATGACATTGGCACAAATCTTTAGCAAAATTGCGCGTGATAACGATTTCAGTTTATTTCCAGCCGTTCCTAGGCTTAACCTCGAGTCATCTGACGATGAAGATCGTTTATACGTGACTATGACAGAGAAGATTGCTAAATACGGGCCTTCTGGATTCATTGCATTTTATTAAATTGTTTATATTTTATGGCATAACTTTGAGTAAGATTTCTTTTATAATAAATAATTATTATTATTCAACAAATTTACAATAAACCAAGATACATAGATACGTTGTCGTGTGCTTTATTTGCGGTATCAGGTAAGAATACTTGAAAGATATTATGCGGGTATGGTTTAATTGCTACTTAACTTGGGGTAATTTTTACGAGTTCATCACAATGGGCCCAGGAGTTAGTCCACTTGCCTTCTGCACCATTGCTTGTACTAATTGAATTTTATGAAGGATCAGTTGTGAAGTCACAGTTGTAAACAAACTATATCGTTAGTTGAACTTTAACAAATTTGAAGCCGGACCTGTTAGTCTTCAAAATCTGAACACGTTCAAATGATTTATGAGGGTAGGAGACGCCTCCGTAAACCACCCTATTATTAGTGGTTAGAAACTGTATTTGCCATATAACCTTATTAGAGAATGCGGACCACTATATTTGTCTTTACGAAGATCCGACGTATCTGCTTAGCGGTATTAGTTTAATAAGCGGTTTAAGAAGCTCTTTGTTTACAAACGAGGGACTTGGAAAAGTCGAAATCATAAACTTCATTATTTTTCTTGCAACACTGCACTACCTGTTGCTTTCCAATTTTAAATCCAAACATTTTAACCCTTATCGGGTCAAAGAGGTCTGGTCGACTCGAGTGCAAAGTTAAATTTCCATATTTTTGTTGAAATACATTTCATCTTAATCTCCTTTCACAAATTCTAAGAACATATCGGGATAAATCATTGTACTGAGAGTTTTACAAATTTTAATTTTATTGCCCGAGATAATTATACTCAAACATAATCTGGACATTAAAGGACAACCGGGCCTGTCAAGCCCACCTACTAATTCATTTGCTTAAATTCATTGTTAATGCCGTTTTCTTAATCTTTAGGTAAGAAGTGTTTGATAAGGTCAGTAATATGCAGAATGGCATGGTTTAGATGATCATTTTAGGCTGAAAAATGAATATATATTATGGGTGAACCGAAGGGAGGTGAGCTTACGACTATATTCGTTTAAATAAATAGGAATATAAATTTCGACAATTTTTTCACAGATCTTTCTTTAGCCATTTTTTTTTCTGAATGCTCTAAAATAAAATGTTTATTCCCAAAGAATTTCTACCAATAAAAACGAGCAGAAAAATCATTTCTATATGTGGATATTCCACAAAAGCTGCTACAGTGTCATATGTGTCAAAACAATACATTTGTGTTCCAGTTTTGTTTACAATGCAAGACACGATAATTACAATTACGCACTGTAAATTTGACTGAAAAATAAAAGCTGAAAACAGAAACAACTCTGATATTTATGCGAGTGGGGGTACTCTGTGTGCGAGAGAAATGTGTGTACCGAACATTCGACTACAAAGCGAATTTGTCTTAATTAAAAAAATGATTATTATACATATAATGTAATTATCATTTTTAAGATATTTCTTGAAAAAAATACTTCTGTAAAAAAATTTTAATAACAAAAATACCAGGCCCGGATTGCCCCCCTATGCAATTAAAATGTTTGACCAGGGACCTTTTCCTATTGTAAAATAAGAATAATATATAAAAATCATTTAAAATAAATGTAATAGGTATTTATAAATAAATTGTATTTATTAAGTAACTTCTGTGTAACCTGTATTTGCTTGTGTTCATTTAATTTTATGAAGGATCCGCATCCACTGTAAACTGCATGTGAAGTCACGGTAGTAAACACACAATATTTTTAGCCAAACTATACAAAAGGTTCAATCGTCTTGTTTTTCAGCAATTATTTTTTGTGGCGACACTAACTTGAGTTATCAGGTCGTTCGCATTTTTTTTTTAACGAATAACGCATTACCATAGAGCGAATAACTTAAATTTTAGGAAAAATCTAACTTTATAAAGATAAGAATCGCCTTTGTTAATTTATTGTTTTCAAGTGTAAAGTTCATTTTACCTAATTTCATGTACAATACAAAAATGTTGATCTACTGTTTTGGTATGTCTGTTAAGCCGTAGTTTTATTACTTTATTAGACATATTATAAATCATTCAAATTACAAAGCGGATCGCGAAAACTTAGGAATATATACGTTATTGTTATCGTGTAGATAGATCTCGCTTCAAATTTATGGAGTGATGTGTTCGTTTGTCTGTGGTTTAATTGTGCACCCACATTTTTAACCTAACTATTACTAAATAATAATAATAAAATATGCACAACGAAATTTTCCAATTTGTTTAAGAATTCACATAACAAACTTAATATATAAAAATGAATACAGAACATTGGTTAACTTTTATTTATTTATTCATCCCTTCAGAGAGCTGATGTAGTCATTTAAAAAAATACTTATTAACATAATAACAAGCGAGACTGTGTTTTATAACATATTTTCATTTTTTAGAGTTGTTAGAATTCCATAATTAAGAGATTTATTTTACAGATTAAGTCATAGACGGTTGATCCAGCTTTTCTTAAATTCTAGGCACACAAGAGTTTTATTATTGTTCCAGTAAAAGTACAGAAATGTCCAATAAAAAATTATGGTGTCATTACATGGCTCAAGTTGAATGTACAGAATTGCAAGCAGATAACAATTTTTGTTTAATTTATACGTTTAGTTATTTTTGAGAAAATGACAATTAATTCAAGTCTTGCAAGGCTTTCATTTTTTTTTAGTTCTACAATCCCCTGAAGGTGGCACCTTCAATTTACTGAATATTGATATAAAGAAGGGCACATAATTTATACATTTTTATAACGAACTTTTTTTTTTACTTTTTTTTACATCATTTTAGAAAATGTTTATATAATAATGAAGTACGCAATATGACCTTTGCAGATATCTTTGGAATAAACGGTGAAACAATACAATTGAGTAAACAATAAGATATTAGAAACGTAGTAAATTTGCTGTGTTTATTGTGAACTTGCCTTGTAGATTGCACCTTATAAAATACATTTCTTGTACTATTTTAAAAACGACGTATTATTACTACAGATATCATGTGCCACAGGTGTGCCTCCAACTAAATGTCATAAATAGGTGTACCATCTGTGTTCCATGTATTCTTCACTTTTTCAAAAACGAATAACATATAGAGAGCTGCAAAATGTATAAAATAAATTATTTAAGCAACAAAAATAATTTTTAACTTACAAGAAGCTTCCCATTCTGACTTTGACAAAGTCCCAATTTTTATGTTGCTTTTTCCTTCATTTTGTAAAAATGTGTCTGCATGTAGATAATCATCAGCTGCTGTTCCAACAAGGGAAGCGTTTTCACTAGGAGGAAACGTCTCCAAACTTTTCATATTACTGAGTAACTGCCGTCCTTCATTTTTCATTTGTTCATAGTAATCATAAAACTTTTCTTTTTTCACAAATTTAAGACCATATTTCCTACCCAGCTTTATTAATGTAGGAAAATGAACCAAAAATTCTGGGCAATCTACTACACCATCCAGGTGAAAGTTATATTTAGCACCAAATAGCGGAGGCTTATTTACATCACAGTCAAACTTCACTTGATATACATCATTCCCAAAAGAATTTGAATTTTCGCGTCGAGCTCTTGCAATGAGATCATTTGCATCTGGTATAGTTCCAATAAAGAAACCTCCGGGCTGAAGGCATTCTGAGGCATTACGTATCATACATTCCGCCTGGGATAAACTCTCAAAGCTATAATGAAAGGCAAACTGGCAACTAACTAAATCCAACTTCATTGATGGATCACTGTACTTTTCGCGTAATCTCACTCTTGAACAATCGCCAGCAATGTACTCAATAGTGTAAATGTTGCCTGAGTTTCTATCCCTGCTGTTCCGTCCTTTCATATCGTTATAACGCGACTTACATTGGTCAAGAGAAACAGAAGCTATATCACTACAAATTAAATGTGTAATGTTTCCTTTCCGCCATTTCAAAAGATCGCCTCCTTTTCCGCAACACATATCTAACACACGTACTGGAGCATTATGTTTCTTGCCATCCTTTATTTTCGTTAAATATTCATTAATCAACATACTTTTGATCCAGTTGTGAAAGTTCCTCATGTACACGATGCGTGACTTTGATCTTTCATCTAGCCCTTTTTCTTCTAGTAAGTTATAGTGAGTAGCCACAACCTTTGCATAACCTTCGCCTGTTTTAATAGCTTCTCCATCATTGGTTTTAATATGTTTCCCTGGTTCAGGTTCATGTTCTCGTTTTCTTTTTAATGATGAGCGTTTCTCATGTGATTCTTCATAATGGGGTTGTTCACTGACTGCTTCATTTTCAACTTCATTTTGATAACTCGTACTATCAATGTGATATTCATTACTTCTAGCATCTGATTCTTGGGCTGCTATTACCAATGTTTTTTCCAAATCATCTGTATTGTCCGAATCATTGTAATCTTCTACAATTTCTTGGGATAACACCGTCTCACTCGACGACATACTTCACAAAATAGATAATAATGAGGTCCACGATACAAATGAATGATAATTCAATTACATCAAAATAAATCTGAATTTGTCAAACAATTCACTAAAATAAATTAGTTTTCAAAAAAACTAGGGTAAGCAACGAAGATGGGGACGAATGACCCGAACTTCTGATACGTCATTTTCTGGCAAAACGAATTAGTTGCAGGATAGCCAATCATATTACAAAAATGTTGTAAATGAAAAAGTCAATATCTAATTAAGAAAGTAATAATATTTGTTCATCAAACATAGATTTAATAATCGGCTCATCAATGAATAATACTTTTTAGGTTTCTTTTTTATTATATTTGTTTTTATTTTGAATTAAGTTTTATTAGGTTTGCTACTTGGAATTTTGACATTCTCTGTCAATAAAAGTAAAACTCTGGGGGTGGGGCAACGGGGTGAGGACAACAACAATAACGTCAACACATGATAGACATAACCTACAAAGTTGTGACCCACGCCAAATTTTTTCTTGCTGTGAAAATGGCTGGTGAAATAATAGTAGATGCCTTACCTTACATAGATCAAGGATATGACGAACCTGGAGTTAGGGAAGCGGTAAGAAAATTGAGGTTATCTGAAACAGTGTTTAAAATCTAAGTTCCAGGCTTTTGCAATGGTCGAGGAAGAATGTCGTCGTTACCGACCAACTAAGAATTATTTGGAACATTTACCGCCCCTCAATGTATCTTCCTTTGAAACTCCAATGATACACAATGAATTTGAACGGTTACAAAATCGTTTGCCTATGGATACCCTCTCAATGAAACGGTACGAATTGCCGCCCCCTCCAAGTGGAAAATTAAACGAAGTGGGGGCATGGCTTGAATGTGTGGATAATTCCCAAGCTCAGTTGGAACATCAAGCAGTTCGAATTTTAAATTTACAATTAATGTTGGAATATTGTTGTCCCGCTTGGCAAAGGTATTTACAAACATTGACTGAATTAGAAAAGAATGCATCAAAAAAGCTAGCAGACTTAAGGCAACAGTTGCAAGAAGTAAATTGGCAGAGGAAATCATTACAAACCAAAGGTGGTGAAGAATTAAAAAATTTAGAAGCTAAATGGGTAGCGTTAGTTTCACATAATTATGAAATTGAACAAGCATGTTGTATGGCAGAAGAATACTTGATTCAATTGAAACAAAACCCCCTTCTCCACCAGAATCCCCAGCAAGATGATAATTGAAAATTAGTTTTGAATGTAAATTTTCTTGTATATGTGCACATACTTTTATTTTAAAAATAAAATAAATTCAACAGAAGTGTAGTTGTAATATTTATTACAAAAGTCTTTACAAACATGTCGTATGTTATGAACATTCTAATGCATTTGAAATGAAAATGAATGCAGCAAATTTAAACAAAATGTACAAACAACAAAATTATTAAAACTTTTTGACACCTGACACGTTCAGCCTCATGGTTTCTTTTGCTTTGCAATCTGACTCAACAACTTTTGACCTGCTAGGAAAGTGAAGCCCCCAATTGGTATCAACCAAGCACATGTAGTGAACATGTCCAACTTCCACCAAAACAATGCAAACAAATACAAAATTCCTCCGAAACCTAGATGGAATGGAATTGAAAGCGTTGTGAAATTTCCAAAGTTGATTCCTATTTTTAACCATAAAATTAAAAGCAATACAAGTGGGGCGGCTGTTAAACCAGTGAAGAGCAATGATACAGCTTCTGGTGGACGTTTTTCAGCAGGTCTAAAAAGATGCTTAATTTCAGGCTTAGGTCCTCTGACAGACTTCTTTTGAGGTTCAGCAATATTTAAATTTGCTTCTAATGTACCAAGTGTCCATCTCAATGGGTTGCTCATAACTGAGTCTCCCAAAATTAACTCCATTTCAAATGTTCCAGAATGAGCTAATTCTGATGCTAAGTTAACATCTATTTTGTAAAGCTTACTACTATCTGGTTCAGCAACAAAGATAATTTCTTTCTTTCCTGAATAAAGTCTTAAAAATGCTTGATGAATTACTCTTGAAATTGAAAGTTTAAGAGTCAAGTGTTGACTAGAATCAGCATGTAGAGCTGCTGGCAATTTAGATGGATGCTGAAGTTTGGTAAGTCTAGGAGCAGCGCTTCCATCAGCATCACTTAATCCAATCTGAACCCATTCTATTGTCACAGGCCCCAAAACTCTTACTGTTAAAGTCGTGGAATGTGTGCCAGCGCTTAAAGCAATTCTGTACTGTCCAGGTTCTAGTCGCAAAGGCAGTACAAATTCAACTGGATTAGCTCCAGGGCTTAATGGTTGTTTAGACAATACAACAACGTCATCAGTGATTCTAGTTGCAGACTGCGCAACTACTGGCGATGGTGGAGTTTTCAACGGTCTTCCCAGAATATCTGAGATATGTACTTTTAAGTCAGGTTTGTCAACTGTAACTTGAGCTGGACCTATTATGGAAATGCTAACAGGTGTTACATCGCTGACTGCCAAACTTGTAGCTGCCTCGATCAACGCAAGTGCCCCCTTAGATGTCTGCACAGTTCTTCGAGTCAGTAAATATGCTGCTAGTTTTTCTGCCTGTTCAGCAGTTAAAGGCCTAGCTCCAGGTATACGCAGTAACCCTGTTATAAGAAGTGATGTAGTGGTTAATCCACCCTCCCATTGCAAAAGTTTGCCATCAACTTCATCTGCTTGCACTACAACTTCTTCAATGCGGTCTAAAATGAAGTTACCAGCAGTTCCTAGAAGAGCAGCAGCATGTAAAGCATGGCCTAAGCTTTGCAAGCTGTCATCTTCTTTAAGTCTAGATTGGATAATTTGGGCCACTTTTTGTCCATTTGGAATTGCGATGTTTAAAAGTTTGAGTGCTTCAGCAGCGTAACGTATTTCGGCCGTTGATGCTTTTGTGTTCTCCAGAATGGTACGTAAATGCTGAAAAGACAAATAAATGTCTTCTTAAAGTAGTAAAATACAAAGACTTACAGTGACTGTTGCGTCTGTTTGAAGTTTTCCAGTACAACCTAGTAAATTCCATGCTGTCAAAGCTTGGAAATTTTCTTCAGGACTACTATCTGGTTTATAAAATTGTTTTATATGTGCACAGTTATCTTTTACAAGTACAGTAGGTAATTGTTCATTGAGTAACTTAAATCCTTTAACGCCATAGTAAGGGGTTGAAAAATCGCCCTCTTCGTTGATTAATGCTTTAACTAAGACGGCAAACAACTTCTTCTTGTCAGAAGGGCAAATGTAACCTCCAATACTAGCATGTGTTGTGGAGAAGTATACTGTTACCAGGGCCAGCACTGTAACAGAGTTATTGCTTAGTTAAGATAATTTACAACATAATTTGATGATACTAACAGAATACAAATCTAGAGAACATTTTTATTTACATTAATAAAACGAAAATCACCGGCACATTAAAACCCCGACACGTACATTACTTATTTTTGACAGTTAATTATAATTTGACAGTTTCCAACAAACACGTCAGCATGGCAAGTGATTATTGGATCCTAATAGAGCATGCGCAAATCGATTATAGAACAGAGAAGCGGGAAAATTGACTTCCCTACACTATTCATAATAAACATGTAGTTTAAAAATGTGCAACAAGTTCGATTCAAAATTAAGAAATTTAGTGATAAGACATTTTAGTTAGATGAAGTTTTTTGTTTTTTCATTTTTTTCCTATTTTTAATAAAATATTATGTAATACCCGTATTATTTAGTAGTGTTATAATTATTATATGGATTTGTTGATCTTCCGAATTTCTCAGTTTCATAGTTTTCGGATTTTCAATGTTTCGATTTCTCAGTTTTGCGATGTTTCAAATTTTCAATTTCTTGATTTATCGAGATTTCGATGTTTCGATTTTTTAATTATTCAACTTTTAACCTGTCGAATTGTCGATTTTGGACTATTTCGATTTCTCAGTTTTTCGATTTTTGGAATTCTCTGAGTTAACCCTATCTGACCTGACTTGACCTGAGTGACAACACTTCAGAAAAAATGACATGAGTTGATGCAGCTTAACATTTTAGAAAGTCTACTATTCTCTTAGAGAGTATGCCAATAGACGATCTTCAAAAATCAGCCTTATCTTAGCAAGTACAATGTGGATTTATCAGTGAACTTTATTACTGCGTTATTTTCTATTGAGCTAAAGTTACAGTTATTAAATACTCTGATAAGCCCACAGACAACAGACATTTAAATTTATAGTAATATTTTTAATGGATTTAAAGGAACTAATGAGACAATATTGACAACATGCAATTATTTATTAATTTACGAAGAAGAAAATATAGTTTTTGCAATTTTGAATCAGTATGACGACATTTTGTTATCATTTTGTGTGCAGAGTAAAATAGACTTTCATATTGCAATCGGTGCTAAGAAAAAGCGAAAGCGTTCATTTTGCAACTTGGCATATAAATAGCTATTTTGTATCCCCAGACAAAAAATGCCCCTTTTTAGTTCTATAATCTATACCCATAGAGGGGGTGAAGTGACATACGTAAGCCAGGCGACTCATTTCATTCACTCGAGTGCTGTATACGTACTAAAAATTTCAACAGTAAATACCTACTAGTTCGATCAGAAAAGAGATAATTTTACTGAAAATGTAATTTACACTCACCGGCAAAAAAAGCGAATCACCCAAAGTTTGTATTGAAAATGGTTCCTTTTTTAAACGTTTGGCTACAGTCAATATCAGTTTTGAAAAAATCACACAAAATATACTAACACTAGGTTTTTGGTTCTTTTTACTTCCCGAGCGTAAGCAAAGGAAGTATTGTAATCGAGTCCGTCGGCCGACTCTCTACTTTTACGTTTTCTCGATCTTTCATGACCCCTAGAAGACGAAGAAATAGGTCTCCCATTTCCGTCTGTCTGTCCGTCTGTCCGTCTGTCCGTCTGTCCGTCTGTCCGTCTGTCCGTCCGTCTGTCCGTCTGTCCGTCTGTCCGTCCGTCTGTCCGTCTGTCCGTCTGTCCGTCCGTCTGTCCGTGTGTCCGTCTGTTGTCCCGGATTTTTATTAGACAGATAATCTCCGAAAGTACTCGACCGATTGTTGTGAAATTTTGTACTTATATTAAGAATATCATGTAGATGGTAAAACGCTAACCAAAATTTGTCTAATCATCCCCACCACTAATGCGATGACGTCACTTCAAAATTGTACATAGTAAATGGGTTTTCAATTGTATAAAATAACATAGTCCTACACATGTAGTTTACAACTCTGAATCGACTTTTCACCCGAAACGTCCAGATTTTTGGAAAAAAAATCAAAATTATAAAACAATATTTTGAAATTTAATTTTTAATCTGCTAACCAGAATGCTTTGAAATGTTGCAGATGTTTTAAGGCTATAAAGAGCATCATAAATCTTTAGTCAAAAAATATTTGCTTATCCCCTCCAAAAACTTGATGACGTCAGCTCAAAAGTTTGTGGAATAAATCATATCTAAAATGTACAAAATATGATGAGTCTGTACTTGTGATCTATCACTCCATTCATATTTTTTGGATTTGCATATACAGGGTGACTCAAAAAAATTAATGAATGCGTAAATATATTTTATTGATTTAATCAGGAACTACAAAACCGAATGCTTTGAAATCTTGCAGATGTTTTAAGGCTATAAAGAGCATCATAAATCTTTAGTCAAAAAATATTTGCTTATCCCCTCCAAAAACTTGATGACGTCAGCTCAAAAGTTTGTGGAATAAATCATATCTAAAATGTACAAAATATGATGAGTCTGTACTTGTGATCTATCACTCCATTCATATTTTTTGGATTTGCATATACAGGGTGACTCAAAAAAATTAATGAATGCGTAAATATATTTTATTGATTTAATCAGGAACTACAAAACCGAATGCTCTGAAATCTTGCAGATGTTTTAAGGTCATAAAGAGCATAATAAATGTTTAGTCAAAATATATTTGCTTATCCCCTCCAAAAACTTGATGACGTCAGCTCGAAAATTTGCCGAATAAATCATATCTAAAATGTACAAAATATGATCAGTCTGTACTTGTGATCTATCACTCCATTCATATTTTTTGGATTTGCATATACAGGGTGATTCAAGAAAATAAATGAAAGCGTAAATTTATTTTACTGATTTACTCAGGAACTACAAAACCGAATGCTTCGAAATCTTGAAGATATTTTAAAATTATCATAAGCATGGTAAATTTTTGATCAAAACGTATTTGGTCGTCCCCCCTAAAAAATTTATGATGTCACCACAAAATTTTGCTGAATAAATCCTATCTAAAATGTACAAAATATGGTGAGTCTCTTCTTGTGATTTATCATTCCATTCAAATTTTTTCGATTTGCATATACAGGGTGACTCAAAAAAATTAATGAATGCGTAAATTTATTTTATTGATTTAATCAGGAACTACAAAACCGAATGCTTTGAAATCTTGCAGATGTTGTAAGGTTATAATAAAGAGCATAATAAATTTTTAGTCAAAATATATTTGGTTATCTTCTACAAAAAACTGATGACGTCAGCTCAAAAGTTTGTCGAATAAATCGTATCTAAAATGTACAAAATATGATGAGTCTGTACTTGTGATTTATCATTCCATTCATATTTTTGGATTTGCATATGCAGGGTGACTCAAAAAAATTAATGAAGGCGTGAATTTATTTTATCGATTTAATCAGGAATTACAAAACCGAATGCTTTGAAATCTTGGGAATATTTTAAAGTTATTATAAGCATAGTAAACTTTTGTTCAAAATGTATTTGTTCATCCCTCCTAAAAAAATTGATGACGTCACCCTTAAATTTTGCTGAATAAATCCTATCTAAAATGCAAAAAATATGATGAGTTTGTACTTGTGATTTATCATTCCATTCATATTTTTTAGATTTTCTTAAGAGGTGGTTCAAAAAAATTAATGAAGTCAATTTATTTTATTGATTAAATTAAAGGCAACACTTATTATTAGTATTACACCCCAACCAACCCAATTTGGTAGACACAAAATTTGTTAAAGGAAAAACTCGGTTGAAACATAAGAGTAGCACGCTTATTTACATCGACTTTAACATTACAGACCTGCATTTGTTTTATGCTGTCACTTGGTTCCGCGAATGCGAAATAGACATGTTTATAATCAACCAATTGTGAATTTCACCGTCAAGAATTAAAATAAAACGCAATGTTTTATATAATAAGCGGAAGTCGAAGCAATAAAACCGATGGTCGTTTTGTTTACAGTTTCTCTGTTTGGCTCTTACGTATGCTGTTACGCTTGTCATCTTAAATTAAGAATGTTTATACATAAACGATTTTCAGTTGCCCCTCATATTACTAGACAGCGGATTTCTGTCGGGCTACGTCACGATTATAGGGGGGGACGTGCTGGATTCCATAAATATAATTAACGATTTATTAATCAAACGGCTAAGTAAATGAGAACGGGAATTAACAGCAGAGTGCAACGAAACAACGTTATTCTAATCTCAAATAAACGAAGTGCAGTCCGCAACGGCAATGAATTCGCATCCCGTGCGAGCCGTACCGAGTTTGGCCTTGCCTAGCCCGACAGAAATCCGCTCTCTAGATATTACACACCGGCGCCGTATACGTGAGTAAATTGTTTCGTTATTTTATTGATTATAAGAAATCAATATTCAAAACGACCCAATTCATTTTCCCGAAAATTTGGGAACACAATAATTTTATTCTTAGTATTACACTACATCTATCCCAACTGATATACGTGTCCTTGCAAAAATGTTGATGACGTCATCACAATTTTTTTTTAAATTCCCACTACAAAAATGTAATGAGAAAAAAAAACATAATAGGCATGCAGTCGTCAAGTTTCCGACAGCGAGGGAAGTACTGTCTAAACTCTTTAGACCAATTTTTTGTACATGCTATGAACCTCAAATCTGAAGATGATAAGTTTTTTCCAACAATGAGATTTGCAGTTGTGACGTTTAGAGGGCATTAACAGACGGTTTGTCATTGTGATTTGATGAAAACTGTGTTTTTGTCAATTAACATGAGTATTGTGGCCATTAATGCAGCACGAGCAATTGCTCTTATTCAGGATGGTCGAAGTTAACGGTACGTTGCCAATACGTTAGGGGTATCACAAGTGAGCATTCACAGAACTGTACGACGGTTTAATGAGACTGGATCATACAGCTGAAGACCTGATTCGGGTCGTCCAAAGAAAACATCGGCTCGGGATGACCGTTTTTTAACGCTGACCGTGTTCCGTAATAGGGATACGACCGCAGTTGAGGCCAGAAATCAACTTGAAGAAACACGAGGAGTTAGTGTAAGTGAAAGAACTGTAAGAAAAAGGTTAACTGCAGCTGAATTGAGGGCCTGTAGACCTGCAAGTGGCCCAGAACTTCTCCCACGACACAGAGTAGCCCGACTTACATTTGCTCGAGAACACGTTAACTCGGAACTTGC